TATGGATGCCCACTCTCACCACTTCTATTTTACATAGTATTGGAGGTCCTAGCCAGAGCCATCACAAGAAAAAGAAATAAAATCACCCAAATTGGAAGGGAAGAAGTAACACTCTCTGTTTGCAGATGACATAATACTATATATAAAAAAGCTTAATGTCTCCACCAAAAAAACTATTAGAACTAATAAGTGAATTCAGTAAAGTTGAAGGATACAAGATTGATATACTGAAATCTGTTATTTTTCTATACAGTAATAATGAACTATCAGGAAGAGACAACAGGAAAGCAATCTTGTTTAATGATACATCAAAAAGAATAAAATACCTAAGAATAAACTACTTAGTCAAAGAAGTGAAAAACCTATACTCTGAAAATTTTAAAACAATTAAATGGAAAGATATTCTGTGTTTATGGATTGGAAGAATCAATATTGTTAAAAGTCTGTAGCAATCTACAATTTTAATGTAATTCTTAAGAAAACACCCATGGCATTTCCAACAAAAGTAGAACTCATAATCCCAAAATTTATATGGAATCACAGGAGACCCCGATTATCCAAAGCAATATTGAGAAAAAAATAACAAAGGTGGATGTATCACATGCCCAGACTTCAGATTATACTATAAAGCTACAGTCAAAACAGCATGGCCCAGGCACAAAAAACAAATACATAGATAAGTGGAACAGAATAAGTAATTCAGAAATAAACCCACATTCCTTTGACTGATTAATCTATGACAAAGGAGATAAAAATATACAGTGAAGACAGTCTCTTCAGTAAGTGGTTCTGGGAGAAGTGGACAGGTGCATATAAAACAATGAGATATGAACATTTCCTCACACTACATAGAAAGATAAACTCAAAATTATTTAAAGACATAAGTATAAGATCTAAAACCATAAAACTCCTAGATAATGTAGGGAAATCTCTTTCTGCATAAACCTTTTTTTTTTCTCGAATCTGAAATAAAAGCAAAAATGAATGAATGGGACCTAATTAAAGTTAAAAGGTTTTGCACCGTAAAGATCATCAACAAAATGAAAAAGCTATCTACTGAATGGGAGATAAATTTGCAAATGATATAACCACAGGGAGTTAATATCCAAAATACATAAACAACTCATACAACTCAATATCAAAACAACCCAATCAAAAAATGGACAAAGGAACTGAATAGGCAATTTTCCAAGGAAGATACACAGGTAACAACAGACACATGAGAAGATGCTCAACTATCAGTAATTATTAGAGAAATGCAAATCAGAACAATAAGATATTACTTCATACTTTTTAAAATGGCAGGCATCAAAAAACCCCCAGAAATGCTTTTAGAATATGAAGAAAAGGGAACCCCCCTGTACACTGTTGGAGGGAATATAAAGGTTAAACCACTATGGAAAAAAGTACAGAGGTTCCTCAATAAACTAAAAATAAAAGTACCATATGACCCAACAATTGGGTATATATCTGAAGAAAGTGAAAAGAGTAGTCAGAAAAGATGAATGACACTGCGTGTTCATAGCAAAATTATTTTCAGTAACAAAGATTAAATAGATTAAAAATATATGATATTTAATGGTCAGTGATATGTTCAGTATATTGCATGTGTAGATGCAGATTTGCTTCAGTCATGTCCATCTCTTCGCAACTCTATGAACTGTAGCCTGACTGTCTCCACTGTACATGGGATTCTCCAGGCAAGAATACTGGAGTGGGTTGCTATGCCCTGCTCCAAGGGATCTTCCCAACCTGGGGATCAAGCCCATGTCTCTTATGTTTCCTGCACTGAAAGGCAGGTTGCTTACCACTAGCACCACCTGGGAATCCCAGGTACACTATATTACCCGGCTATTAAAAAGAATGCAATTCTGCCATTTGCAAATGTATGGTTGTTCCTAGAGAATATTATGCATGGGGTCGCTGAGAGTCGGACACGATTGAGCGACTTCACTTTCATTTTTCACTTTCATGCTCTGGAGAAGGAAATGGCAACCCACTCCAGTATTCTTGCCTGGAGAATCCCAGAGACAGGGGAGCCTGGTGGGCTGCCATCTATGGGGTTGCACAGAGTCGGACACGACTGGAGTGACTTAGCAGCAGCAGCAGAGAATATTATATTTAGTAAAATAAGACAAAGAAAGATGAATACTGTATGGAATATAAAAAATAAAAGAAAAAATGAATATAACAAAACAGAAGCAATCTACTGATACAGAGCCCAAAGTATTGATACTGGTGGGGAGAGGAAAGCCGTGAGGGTCAATGCAGGAGCAGGTGATTAAAGAGATACAGACCAGCATGTATAAAATGAATAAACAACCAGGATGTATTATACAGGTGAAGAATGTAGCCAGTGTTTTATAGTAGCTTCAAGTGGAGTATAATCTATAAAATAATTGAATCATTGTATTTGTATACCTGAAATTAATATAATACTGTAAATCAACCGTATTTCAGGAAGAAATTCTGTCTGACTTCTGGTAACTTGATTGTAATGTGTCTTGTTGTGGATTTTTTTGGAGTTACTGTATTTGATATCTTTATTGTTTCCTGGTTCTGGATGTCCATATCCTTTGACAGATTTGGGGACTTTTCAGTCAGTTTTTCTTTGAGAAACTTTTAGATCATTTCTCATACTTTTGTCCTTCTAGGATCTCTGTAGTGCCTATATGGTCCATGTGATACTTCCCATAAATTCCTTAGATTTTTAACAGTATATTTTATTTTTTTTCTTTGTGCTCCATTTAATAAATTATTTCAAATGTCCTTTTTTCCAAATTTTACAATCCTTTCCTTTATTTAATCTGCTGCTTTGACCATCTAGTGAATTTTTCAGTGCGGTTACTGTGCTTTTTGATTCATTATTTCTGTGTGTTATTCTTAATTTCATTAGGGCCACTTTGTAGTGTCACTTTCTTGTAAAGCGGAGGGGTGTGTTAATTGGACTTTCTTTCATTTTTCCTTGACTTTCTGTGTTCGTGTCTGCACATAGGCAAACTAGCAACATATTTCACTCTTCATGAACTGGCCTTGTACTGGAGAAGACCAACATTAATAAGCCTGGCTAGAAAAAGTGGGCCTCTCAATCTGGCGATAGTACAATCCACTTGCCTTGATTTTATAAGCTTCCAGGTATCTGGAGAATGTCAGGGTCCCATCAGGCTCCTAAAACAAAGGAGACTAGAATCAATTCCTCAGGCAGGCTCCAGGTGAGCACAGTACATCTTTTCCTTCACCAAGGAGAAGCTGTAGGAAAAGTTTTTCTACTGCTAGCTGTGTTAAGTCATGGGGAGGGTTCATAGTGAATTCTAGACCAAACTGCTCTCTCTCTTCTCCCTCACCTCAGGTAGCTAAAGTCTGTCATATCCCATGTCCCTTCAATTTTCTGACACAGGCTATACAGAAGTCAATCTTGTGAATGGCCTCTAGGAAAGCTGGGGTTTTGGATGCATTGTGCACCTCTTTCTCTTCCTAAGGAGAATCTGGGAACTGGTGATTTTTTCCCAGTCACATGGTCTGAACCACTATAGCTATATGGCAAGATGTATGTTGAATTTTTTTAATAGATTCAACATGACTGGTATCACACTTGAACTGTGTGCAGGATCCTCTTAAACAAGTTTTGGATTTCTTACAAAGGCAATCTGTACATAAATTGATTTTGAGTCCATGTATTCATGCAGAGAAGGAGATTCTAGCATTTCCTGTTCTGCCATCTTGCTGATGGGAAATGGGAGTTAATTTTGGCTCTTCCTTGGATGATGAAAATCTCTACAGTGAAGGGAAAATTTGAGTAAAAGATTGAGTCTATAAGGAACTAAAAGACAGATTTTAAATACAGTCCCCTTAGTTCCTATTACATGTAGAAACTGTTCCCTGGGGAAGAGACTGAACAAGCTGCTGCCATCTATAACGGAGTGCCTTATACCATTACACTCAAATTAAATCTTTTATGGCTTACTGTGTGGCTAAAATGATAATAATAGAGGCTGTTTATTGTCTTTTGCAGTTTGATAGGACTCAAAGTCATAATCATGATTATGATCTGTAGTTCAGGAAAGCTTTTGAGGGCATATCAGAAATTAATTACAGGTGACATTTTGTTAGAATCAAAGAAATTAAAGCCTCAGAACCTGAAATTACCCTTTAAGGACCAGGGGAATTATACACAATAAGAAGAAACCCTGAGGATATTCTGACTTAAAAGAGGGTGAGTTTCTGAATTCCATTTATATTCATGTTTCCTTTGTTGGAGATGGAGAATGAGGACCTACAATATGACAGTTCATTTCCTGTTTTTGCTGTCCTGAGATTCAGCTGAATCTTGCAGGGAAATGTGTTTGAAGAGAGAGCAGGGAATGTTAGAATTACTAAGGACACAGGTGATGCAATTTCTCAGTAAATTCCCTTTCCATGGATGGAACATTCATTCTTCTAGATTTATAAGTTTTATTTTGTGACATGGTGATTTAACTTAACCTTTCTTAGACTGTGGTCCCTTCCCTCCACTACCGCTCCCCCCCCCGCCCTTTTTTTTTAATGTAGAGATAATCTTCTTGGTTCCTACCTTGTAAAGTCTTATCTGCATTGCAGGTGAGCACTAGGCTTTTGGGATGACTGCCTCTAAATTTACCGGTGAGGGGAAGGCCAAGTGAATGAAGAAATTGTGAGAAGAGGCAATAAAAATTCTGTTCTCATTCAAAATTCTTTTTCATGATCCTTTGGTTTTTTCCAGTACTTATCTTTGCATATGCAGTTCCCTTCACTCCATAGGCTCACTCCATATGCTTTTTGCTACTTAGTTAAAAAAGGGTTTATAAGGGAAAGTTCCTGAAACTAATTTCCATGATAATGATAGGAAGATCCATGAGTGCAGGATAGGCTACTCATAGCCATCCCAGCACATAGACTGTCTTGTATAGGAGATGTTATGCAAAACCCTGTTTTTCCTCTTTGTGACCCTTTTCTCCTGTGCTCTCAGATTTCTTTAGGGAAGAATGGCTCTGGGCAATGTTTCTTTCATGACTCAGTTTATTTTGATGGGATTGACAGACCAACCAGATCTCCAGCTCCTGCTCTTCTTCCTCTTTCTAGTAATATATGTGGTCACTGTGATGGGAAATTTGGGCTTGATCATCCTTATTGGGCTGAGTTCACACCTACACACGCCCATGTACTTTTTCCTCTTTAACTTGTCCTTCATAGATCTCTGTTATTCTTCTGTGTTTACACCCAAAATGCTGATTAATATCATATCAAAGAAGAAGATTATTTCTTACATGGGGTGCATGACCCAGCTTTACTTTTTCAGTTTTTTTGGTATTTCTGAATGCTATGTGCTGACATCAATGGCCTATGACCGCTATGTGGCCATCTGTAACCCACTCTTGTATAATGCTGCCATGTCCCCTAAAGTGTGTTCCAGCCTTATGCTTGGTTCATACTTGATGGCAGTTTTGGATGCCACGACCCTTATTACATGCATGCTGAGACTGACCTTCTGTGATGCAAACACCATCAACCACTATTTGTGTGACATCCACCCTCTGCTCCAGCTCTCATGCACAAGTACCCACATCATTGAACTGGAAGTGTTCATTGTGGGAGGCATCAACATCATTGTGCCCAGTCTCACCATCTTTGTCTCTTATGGTCTCATCCTCACCAACATCTTCCACATTAAGTCCACAGAGGGCAGGCCCAAAGCCTTCAGCACCTGCAGTTCCCACATCATTGCTGTTTCTCTGTTCTTTGGATCAAGTGCATTTATGTATCTCAGACCATCTTCTGTGTCTGTGGATGATGGGAAAATATCCTCTGTCTTTTACACTAATGTGGTTCCCATGATGAATCCCTTAATTTACAGCTTGAGGAACAAAGATGTTAAGTTGCTCTGAGAAAAACTTTGAGGATGAGAAAGTTTTAATCAGAAATGATGTTTGTGCATATAGTTACAGGACAAGGAGATTCAGTGTGATTAATTGCTTTTAGTTTCAGCCTTATTCTTATAAATATTTTCTTTTAATATGATAAAGAAAATTTGAGAGTTTTCTCCATATTGTATTTCCAGTTTTTTAGTCTGGGATTTCTTTTTCCCTGTTTGCATACTATCTTTTTTCACATTTTTAAACTGTTTTTTGATAACTTTAAAAGATATATGTAGTATCTCTGTTATTTTTTACTGTCATTTCCAACTTAAAAAAAAGTTTTTAAAAGAGAATGGTCTCCAAGTGATCAAATTTGAGATACCTGTGATATACTAAGAGATCAGTGATCAAAGTGAACTAGATAGCACTGGTGCTGCTGCTGCTGCTAAGTCGCTTCAGTTGTGTCCGACTCTGTGTGACCCCATAGACGGCAGCCCACCAGGTTCCCCCGTCCCTGGGATTCTCCAGGTAAGAACACTGGAGTGGGTTTCCGTTTCCTTCTCCAATGCATGAAAGTGAAAAGGGAAAGTGAAGTCGCTCAGTCGTGGCTGACTCTTAGCGACCTCATGGACTGCAGCCTACCAGGCTCCTCTGTCCATGGGATTCTCCAGGCAAGAGTACTGGAGTGGGCTGCCATTGCCTTCTCCGCTAGATAGCACTATTGTAATGTTATTCTATTGGAGTTGTGCTTATTCTCCACTTGCTGTCAGAAGCATGAATTAGATACTGTTTCACTCCTGTCTTTCCATTTTCTGACTGGGAAGACTATATCTCCTTTAAATGCCAGAGATTGAAGTTTCCATAAAGGCTTAGATTATGATTCAGTTTGCATCTCTAAATATTTGCATCTAGCTTTTGGCAAGTGTTTTCCTTTTACTATTTACAGTAAAACTATTACATGTCAGATCATATAAATATATTTATTTCATAAATGGTAAAATGAAGTTCAGAATGGTTAATGATTTAAATTCACAGCTTCATAAAAAAAAAATCTAGACTTAACTGTTAGCCTTCTAATTTCAAGTCTATGACTTCTGTACTTATATTCACTTTGCTTTATTCTATTTGTTTCATTAAGACCATACTATGAGAAAATATTTTTAATTTGAAAATTGACTGTTATTTTTTCAAGGGAGATATATGAATTTCCTTCATGCTATGTGTTGCTTTTGATGTTTTTTTAGTTTAGGCAAAGTGTTTCACTGTTTTCTTTGGGTGGGAAAGGAATGATTTTTGGACTAGTATATTGTTGAGATGATTGATTCAAATAGGGAGTTGCTAATTCTGAAAAATTAAAAGAACTGAATTTGGGGTGTTTGAAAGTGTTTCTTTTTTCTTTTTAATTAAAAGGACAGGATATGGGTGAGAAAGGAATCCAGAATCATGTCATTAGGAGATACTTCAGCAAGGCACAGCCAACAAACAAGAGGTTGTTTGTGGAAAGTGGTCATGAGATTTAGGAAACACATTTTATTCTGAAATTCTGTTCATCTACACAGAACTGTATATGTATTTAATGGTCCATGAATCTTTGATAAAGTTGTAATGTGCATGACTGTAAAGTAGTAGTGCATTGGGAAATGATGAAAATGCTATTGCCATATTTGCTATGGTCACATTTGGAACATGGGAGAAAGAGGGAAGCTGGAGGTGATAAAATAACTATGGACATTTGAAACTCAAGTTAGGAAGAAGAAATTTAGAGAGTAAATTGATGGATAATGAAAGATCCTACCTATGACATCGCTCTTCTATTTATAGGACCCTAGAAATATTATGATGCTCAGCGGTGTTTCAATGGATAGGACACAAATTTAAGTTATTTGATTTTTATCAGTTAAACCAACAGAGCTGGAGAACCTGGGAACAACTAAATCATTTTTGTTCTTGTGGACCTTCATATCTATTAATATTTCCTTGTGTGTACTTAGTTGCTCAGTCATGTCTGACTCTTTGCAACTTCATGGACTGTAGCCCACCAGACTCTTCTTTCCATGGGATTCTCCAGGCAAGAATACTGGAGTGGGTTGTGATTCCCTTCTCCAGGGGATCTTCCTGACCCAGGGATCAAACCTGCATTGTAGGTGGATTCTTTACTGTCTCAGCCACCAGGGAAGCCCCTAGTACTTCCATACAGATTTTAAATTACTAAACCTCAAAGTGCAGCTGATAGTATAATGACATCTTAAAGGAAATATTTTGTGAATACACAAATTTTTGCACTGTCTTTACTGGAAAAGATGTTGCTTTTTTATTATTTTTTAAGGGCAAAATTGCTACCTTAAAAATCCTCAATGTGATGTGGCAAGGGATAATTTAAATATTTTCTCCATGGATGTCAGGCATGCAAATGTCCAGGAGAAGCTTCCACAGAGCTTATGGAACCCAAGTTGGGAAAGTAGGACCTTTCCCCCTCCCATATCCAGTGTCTGTACTCTGATTTCTGATTGTTGCTTCCGAACCAGATGTGCAGACACAGGGGGAGCAGCCACTGTTGGTGCACCTCTCCACCATGGCTACAAGCTGCTCCTAATCCAGCTGAAGTGACATCCAGGGAATTTAAAGGCCAGCACACTTTTCCCCTGTCATCATTATTTTCTTTTTGGTTTTTCATGAGCCAGATGTTAAAGATAGGACTTTTAAAAAGCAAGAAGCCTATATAGAGATAATGAGAATGTCTCCGTGCATGTACTTGGAATGATACATGCTCAAAAAGACCAGTAAATAATTTAAATTTTCTCCTGAGCCTGATCCTCTGCACGGAGATTGCCTATAATAATCTAAACTACAAAAATGAGGAGGGAGTTCTAGATGGCAGGTTGGTAGGATGCTAAGCTCACCCCTCCTTAGGAACACATCACATTACCACTACATATACAGAACCTCTTGCTGAAATCCACCTGGGCAAGAGCAGAACAGCTGTTCTACAACCAAGGTTGTAAAGAATGATTCATATGGAATCTGCCAGGAAGGGGAGAGAAGCGATAAGGTTGGGACCTATACACCTCACCTGGGACAGAGAAGAGGAAGGGGATATCACAAGCTGTGAAATACTCCTGGAGGAGCAAGGATTTGGGGCCAGAGTTTAGGCACACCAGCCCTGGGGTTTAAAAAGAGAAATAAGCCCCCTTTCTTGCTTTAAAACCAGTGGAGATTTACCTGAGTACTGCAAGTAACTGAGACCCTGCTCTTGAAGAGCACGTGCCAGACCTGCTCACTCCCAATCACAGCATGGAGGCAGCAGATTGAAAACTGCCTGGGACTCCAGCCAGCTGGCAAGGACCACCCCAGCATCCCCTCTTCCCCAGCTCTAACTGAGCTCCTGCCCCAGCCTCTCATGCTCCTGTGGTTGCTGCCCACTAAAGGGGAGGATACCCTTGCTAACAAGTGTGTGCACATTTGGAGGGATGGGAGGTGACTTGGACAGTGAGGCTGCAACTGAGCCACTGTCAACTCATATATCTCTGCAGGCACTCCAGAAGGAGGGATGTTAGGTCCAGGGAAGAGAACACTGTCAGCAGAAGGCACATTCCTGTCCATATTGGGAGGGGACAGGGTCAGCTCTGTGCTGTGGCACCAACCCCTCCACCAAGACTCAGTCACTACCAAGGCAAACACACTGGGGAAAAAGTGGGGAAAAAGTCACTAACAAGCCAGCACCCAAGGCATGCACACTGGGGAAAAAGTCGGGGAAAAGTCATTAACAAGTCACTATCCAAGGCGAGCACACTGGGGAAAATGTGGGGAAAAGTCACTAACAAGTCACTAACCACACTGGGGAAAAAAGTTGCTAACCAAGGTATGCACATTGGGGAAAAACCAGGACAGAAACAGCTCCAAGCTCTCAGGCCTTGGTCCTGTCCCAGAATACTGACTGCCATCAAATGCAGGAGAAACCCAGTTTCTCAAGACTCTTTCACCACCTCCTTAGGCTACAGCTCTGGACCTGATAGGGAAGTGACAGCCACTGAGAACTGGAGAAGCCCTTGCTCACCCCTGGCTCTGGCTCTTGCCCCACCAACTCCATCCTGCATCCCACCAGTGCAGTGGCTGCCATCACACTCCAGGAGAAGACACAGTCCATGCTCACTTCAGATTCAGTTCTCCCAGGAAAACCATTGGACATTCACAGACTGCATAGGGACATTCCCACACAAGAAACCACCTTCAAGCCTGGGGTAGGTAATTGCCTTACCTAGTGTCGTAGAGACAGAGAAAATTAAGCAAAATGAGATGTTAGAAGAATTTGTTTCAAACAAAAGAACAACAGAAAAAAACCTCAAT